GCCCCCTAAACCCTAAAACGCCTAAACCCTAAAACCCCAAAACCCTAAAACCCCAAACCCTAAAACCCCCAAACCTTAAAACCCCAAACCCTAAACCCCTAAACCTCTAAACTCCTAAACCTCTGAACCCTTATACCCTAAAACCTTAAAACCCTAAACCCCTAAAGCCCTAAACCCCTAAACCCTAAATCTCTAAACCTAAACCCTAAACCCTAAAACCCCTAAACCCTGAAACGCCTGAACCCAAAATAAAGCTTGATCCTCCCGGCCTCAACATCCATGATCAGGAGGTCCCCCGAGCCTCCAGTAAAAAAGTGCAAACACAACAACACATGGTACCACACACAGAGACACAAGGTCAGCACTGCTAGAGAGTGCACACCACTCTGAGGCCGAGACCAATCTTCAGGAGTTCCAAGAAACTCCTGCAAATCAAGCATGGATGATGAAGCCGTGCAAACAACAACACCACATGCACAGCAAAACTGCACGAACACCAACACTTTTTTCTGCACGATCGCTCTGATCATCATCGCCCTGGAAGATGCACGCTGCGCAGCGGGTCGGGTGAAACACATCACTCCTCCATATCATCCCTCTTCCTCTTCTTATCCCCTTTTCCACCACCCTTACCATCCTCCTCCACATCATCCTTCTTCTCCTCCTCCTCCTCCTCCTCCGGGCGATCCTCCTCCTTATCACGGATCTCTTGCCCGACCTCCGTGATAATCGGGCCCACACCGCCGCCCGCCGGGGCAGGGCCCACCTGCATCTGCTGCACCAAGCTCGCCAGCAAGGGCATCGAGCCAGCAATGGCATCTGCACGGGCAAAACAAAAATAAGAGATCAAAAAATCCAATAAAAAAATGTATAACTCATAACTAAATGTATAACTAAAAGAACTTATAATGCCCCTGCCTGAGCTTCCTTGTCCTCGCAGTAGAACACCATCAGCAGCATGGTCTCGACCTGGGCAGGCACAAGGGGCAAGGGGCTTCAAACCTACACACTACCTTGGGAGGGCAGAGACTCCCGGGAGAAAAAAAAGCGCTGCTTGAAACTCTCGAATCAAGCACACTCACAACCGATCTGAGCGCCAGACAGGCGACAGGAATCTATACTCCTAGGCCCTCAAAGCTTATAGGCTTATAGTATATATATATATACACACTTAAAGCACCTACGTAGAAGATATCAAAAAAATCTCAACAGCTCAGCCCATGCACCCTAGACCCTTCCTACACACATGGACACGCATGCTATACACAGGGACATGCACAGAGTCCTGAAGCTGCATGCTGCACAGCAACTTGCTTTGAAGCATGCAGAAGTACCGAAAATGCATGCTCTCACAAAATATTTTCAAGCGAAAGAGTATGGTTCATCATCGTCGTCTTGTCGATTCGTTGCAATGCAACTTGCCCTACCCACCTACACAGCCGCCTGCATGCTGCTCAGCTTTTCTTCTGCCCAGTTCTTCACCTGGGCCAAAGGCTCTCCAGCTCGACATTTTCGTAGGGTTTCTTCTCCCAATTGATGCATCTGCTCCTTCGTGCAGGAGCCGCCTTTCAGCTGCCACAGCTGCCTGTTGCACTCTTCATTCTTCTCGTTTCGCCAAATCATGCGAAAGGCCAAGCAATTGGTCGCTGCGCGATACTCCTTTCGAAGACTGCAATGCGCAGGGAGAACCTCCAAAGGCTCTGCATCTGGAGCCTGGCTGGACCTATCGCAGCAGGGGCTTCGGCAGGGGCTTGCTCATCCTCGGCTGTTGCAGCATCATCGTCTGCAGGCACACCTGGAGTTGCACTCTCTTCTCCATCATCCTGCACATCAGGTCGGCAGGCTGGCTTCTTGATGACTGCAGCTGGTTTCTTCTTGCTAGCTGCTTTTGCAGATGCTTTCGGAGCAGATGCTTTGGCAGCCGCTGCTTTCTCCAGCATCAGGTTCGGGATCTCGCTCACGATCTGACGCCCATCGGACCACACTGCCACGGCAAAACCAGAAGGCCCCTTGTGCATCTTGGCAGCCTCTCGGCTGTCACCTGAGATTCGCAGGAGCTCGAGACCACTGCAGTCTTGCTGGTTTCGCCTGTAGGCCTAGGCCTTGGCGCAGGTTCTGCGAGCTCCTTCTTCACTACAACAGGTGGATCCTCAGAGGACACAGACACATGAACCTGAAGCTTCCTTGTCGATGCCTTTTGCCATGTCGTGCCCAGCTTTTGCTTCGACTCTTCTCTGGAGAGGCCTTCGACTTAGCAGAACATGAGCTTGCTCTCTTGGATCCCTGCTGCTCCTGTAAAGTCTTCGCAGGAGAGCTGCTGGAGCCACCGAGCAACTCCTCCTTGATGAAGAAGCACATGTCCTGCACACTGTCGGGCAGCCTTCCTCCTGATGACATGTTGCGAGTTTTCGTGAAGAGACTCCTGTACACTTCGTGAAGATGATTGGCAGACGTCTTCAGCTCCAAGACTGGAGCCCCTGGCCACACAAGGCCCAGTGCTTCATGCAGGACAGCTGCAGTCGGCCGACTAGTGATGCTCAAAATCTCCTTCATGAGCACCATCCAAAGACAAGAGGGCATCTCCAGCTTCCACTGCTGAGTATTATATGCATGCCTGCAGCATGCATGATCGAAGTAGCCATGCTCCAGATCATGCATGTACTCCATGCAGGAGATGCATGCCATCCTGGCTAAAAACAGTATATATATATATAGATAGATACGGAACACTGTCAGCCTTAATTGGGGCTGATGATATCAGCCTTAAATAAAGGCTTAAGTCTTATCCTATAACTCTTATTTAGACGTCACCTGATTCAAAGCTTATTGGAGCTCCAGGGGATAGCGGCACGGTCAGTCTTGTTAGCCTGAACGGTCTTTGCTGGTGACCAGACATGTTGGTAAACCGCCATGACGTTGGTCCTGGCTCCGAACCAGTCCAACCTGACCTCAAAGACTCTCCCCTTGGCATGTTCCTGCCATCTAACGCTCTCTGGGGGGATGGCCGGCGACAGCAGGACCATGACCCCATCCGCTCTGGTTGTGGAGGGAGGCTTCTGCTTGACAGCTTTAGACGTTTTGGGCCGAGCCCCCTGTGTCTTCTTTTCCTTTGCCGACGTGTCGGTCAAAGGTTGGGCCGAGCCCCCACAGTCTTTTGGCACATTGGCGTCCGAAGGTGTAACCTGAGGCGAGGCAGAGGAGACGCAGTACCATCCAGAGACTGCAAATTCTGCGGTCTCCTTCCAGTGCGTTTCCTGTAAGACGAGAACGGCACAGGTCTGCTTGGCTTCGGTCGCTGCTGTCCAAGATGCCCAGCATTCCATGACAGCACAGTACTGTGACCTCCCGATTGGCAAGAAGGCCCGAGGCCGTCCGGGCAGGCGGGCAGTTGCCAGACCTTCGAACGGCTGCTGCCTGGCATAGCCGCACGACATGCTTGCTTGAATGATCTTTTACGAAGCTGAGAATAATTTTGTGAGCGCACTGGCAGTAATGCCATCCGCTACTTTCGTCGCACTGNNCTGGACCCAGGAATTGGGACCTGGCAGACCAGACCGATTCAGTAAACTCGGAGAGCCATGGCTCGAAAAGGGGCACAATCCCTTGCGTTGCCCAGGGGGTCCGGTTGAGGCCTCTAGGAAGAGAGTTGCGCCCAAAGCCCGTTATT